CATAAAAAAATATATAATCATATATTTTTTAAACAAATTTATTAATTATTAAAGCTTGGACATGCTCTGGACACTTGGACACTTGGACGTTGAACAGTACCAAAAAAGCCTTTGGACAGTCAAAACGTACAACACTGATTTTAATTGGTAAAAATTATATTGGCCTATCATTGCATCCAAGGTTAGCAATGGACATGAATATGGACATACAAAGTTATATCCAAAATAAAAATTATAATTTGACGCGAATAATTATGATTACGTACGCGTATTTGTTACAATTTGGTAATTTAATTAAATCTTTATTTCATAATATATAATAACGATAACGATCCAAAAGAAAAATCATCAAACCTTTTTACTTTGTAATAATGATACTTTCATGGTCATTACCATGTGGTTGTGATAGAAGTATTTATGGTAAGTATAAATGTCAAGAGTTAGAGTTTGGAACGAATACAAATCGAATCAACTGAATCCGTAACAGTAATCTTTTGATTTGGAAATAAATCATAGCGCGATTAGATCTCTAAAGTTCAATTATTGAGCTTTATGACTTGTATAATATGATTATATCTCTGCAGGAGCTAAAATATATTCTAAATTAAATTAATAAAATAAAATAAATTGTATTAAATTAGCTCTACCGTATCGGTATAGGAAATTTGGTTCTTAGATGTCTTTAGAATTTATATTAATTTGATGACTTTAGGTAATATGAGCCATACCAGATAATTACAACCATAATTCAAATATGCAAATTACAGAATTAATAAAACTCAAAAGTATTTTATACTATAAAAATTTTCTATAGTTAAAAACTTGAATTTGCTAAAATTATTTTTATGTCTACGATAATGTAAAGTCTTTTATTTATTTATTTATTGTAATAACCAAAATTGTTATATTGATCAGATTTAATACATAAAAATGATAAAAATGTTATATATGTATTGATGTTGTTCTAAATCGTTATCATTCCAAATTTTTAGAATAATAAATCATCGTATTATATTTTTGGCCCTTGACTCTTAATGTTTTAATAATTTATTACACAAAAGATACAAATAGAATGTAGATTTTGACATAGGCTAAAAATATAAATAAATAAAAATATCCTATTGTTAAGTTTTAAATATTTACCTTGTCAACAATCCAAAATTCAAATTTTCAAGTTTTACAACAATTTAGACCCATAACGACGTTCATGAAACTTTTCACGTCATATCCATAGCACCACTTAAATCTCGCTCAAGATCTTCGCTGATCCCAATACCTTTATGAAGACCTGGTGGAACATAAGGAGCAACAAGCGCATCAACATCGCCACGAACTGCAGTGGGCGAATTTAGAATAGTATCACGATCAGGAATTTTGGATAAGCTAGCTGAACTGCTTTGTCTATTTCCGAGACTAAGATGGGGTACATGATGATGTCGTATTAAAGCACGGAAATTAACTACTTCCTTAACGATCATTTCTGGTCATAGAGGACATAAAGTTGGTAAATATTCAAAAAGAATTACTAATAGATAATGCCTGAATGTTTAGTAAATAATACCTCTCATTTGTTGAGGATCATCAACTGATTCAAATGAAGAGAAATCAAAGGTTTTAGCACATACAGGCTAATTTCAATAATCATAATAACAACATCGAAAAGTGTAGTTAACCACTTTTAAAATAAAAATAATATCAAAGCATTAATTGTAATCATATTAAAAATCGAGCAAACCTCATCGTTAGGTTCATGCCATACTGCTAAATAGGGATGTTCTAATGCTTCTTCAACAGTTATACGTTGAGCAGGATCAAATGTCAATAGACGTTCTAATAAATCAATTGCTATATATTAAACAATTAAATGAGTATCAGCAACAATGTTAGTGTGAGTGTTGAATATAAACATTGTAGACCTGAAAGTTTCATATCACACACCTAAAGTATTTGCATTAGGAAATATTTTAGCAAATGGTCTTTTCTGCATACGAGGCAAATTACGAATATATTCTTGTGCCTTGAAAGAAAGAATAATTGATATAGTTCAATAAAGTAATTTAAAGTTTTTTTTTTTCTTATATATTATAACTTACTCTTGAACTCCCTATTCTTGATAGGGTATGATCACTAGGAGTTCCCAAAGTTTGAAGGATTTGATTTAATTGGTCAACGTCTATATAGCAATTTAAAACTTTCATTAAGGATAAATGCAAGAAAAAGTTATATAAAGTTATTTGAACACATTAACAAATTTAATTTAGATATTTTATAAGAAATTTTCTTCAAAGATCGTAAACTTTAAGAAACAAGGATACAATCTCTTCCTTTGAATATTGGCCTTCCACCTAATAATTCGGCCAAGATACATCCTACAGACCATAGATCAACTAAGGAATTCGTTGAAAGAAATGGTATATTTAAATAATTATAAGTCATAAAGTGGTTAAAAAGTGGTTAAAAGGGCAATATATGGGGGGGTGCCAGTAGAAACCAAGCAATTTGTTTCTAAGTAAAATTTTTTTGGACTTTAAACTAAAATATC